TCTGCAAAACAAACCACTCCTAAGGGCAGGCCCTATGGCCAGCAGTAGATGACCAATACAAACAGCATCTTTGAAGGTTTGTTGTCTCATAAAATTACGTGAGGGTGTTTTCTGCTTTGGTTTTTTTTTTCTTTCTATCTTACAGGTTCTTTTTGGGTTCTTACGGTTTCCAGTTTGAGCTTTTATAGGATTCCTGGTGTGCGAATATGTGTGTGTCTGCATTTATATTTCTTGTGCTTTTACTTTGGCTGTTTTTCTTGTTTGCTTGTTTTGTCATATTCTGATTTGTTTTTTATTTATCTTATTACTGTTCTTTAGATGCCTGTTTTCTAACGAGATACAAAAAAGGCATGGATATGAATGGGAGGAATCTGGGGAAGAACTAGGAAGAGTGCAGGGAGGGGAAATGGGAATCAGAATATATTATATGAAACAGTCTATTTCCAGGAAAAGAAAAACAAATTACCAGAACACAAGAACATATGTTTCATCATGCTTGCCTTATCACTGTGTGAAACATTAAAGAACATGGAATAACTTAAATGCTGGGTGACAGAAACTTACAAGTTAAGTTGCCAATAGGTACCACAGACTGTTACACACTTATAATAAAAAATGAATTAGCATTTGTAGTAGTTTTCTATTCATTATTCAAGATCTTACCACAAATAAACAGGATTAAATAAAATGAACTCATTATTTTACAATTCTGTGACTCAAAGGGGTCTCACTCGGGCAATGCTCAGGTATCAGCAGGCCTGTTTCCTTGTTTTCTGAAGGTGCTATTCCCTTGCAAGCTGTCAGATAAAGTCTGTTCTTTCCTACTGGAATTCCTTGGCCTGCATTCTCCTTTCTCCATTTTTAAAGCCAACAGTGGCAGGCTGAGTCACTTTCATATTTATAATCTCCATCCTCCTTTTCCCATGTGTCTGAACTAGCACATAGAGATTTCCCACACCTAATTTCCCAGTAATTACACTGGGTCCATTAAGAGAATCCAAAGTAAGCTCCCCATGTCAGGGGGCAATCCTTTAATCACACATGCAAAGCCTCCTTGTCATGGGAAGCAACAGATTCAGAGGTTCTAGTGATCCTGGCAGGAACCTTTGGGGGAGAATTACTCTGCGTGTGTGTATATATCTGCTTATTTAGAGAGTGTGTGCATGCCACAGAGAGTGTGTGCAGGGCAGCAGAGGGCAGCTTTCAGGAATTGGTTCTGTCCTTCCGCCATGCAGATTCTCTGGGATGGAGCTCAGGCCATCAGTGTTGGCACAGAGCACTCTCACCCTTACGTAGCTGTCTATCAAAAACTCGAAATTCTATGGAGTGGGGAGGCCTCACGTGTTCAGATTGACCTGAAGTGTATACACACGCTGTGCCTATAATCATGAAGGGTTAGGGTTATCAAGGTACCAATAACTGACTCAACCAAAACAGGATAGGGAGTGAGATACTGAACAAAAGGAGACTGATATTTTCTAGATATGCCTCATTTTATTCTTTTTAAAAGAGAATATCTTACTGTTTGTCAATTATTAATTTTTAATGTTAATGAAACTTAAAATATTTAAGTACTATAATTTTAATATTTGATATATTATAAGACATTATATATTACTAATATGTAAAGCATACTGATTTATCAGATGTAGAAATTATATATCACACCTAGATGATGAGATTACAGGTATATTTAATTTTCTTGTTTTGACTTGCTAGCATTTTTATGTTTCTTATGCCACATGTAAGTAAAGACATACATATATGTATATACACACGTATATAAAATAATATTAACAGGAGACTATTTTAAACTAAAAAGTGACAAGAAGGCTGGGTATGGTGGCACATGCCTTTAATCTCACCACTTGCGAGGCATAGGCAGGCAGACTTCTGTGTGTTCCATGTCAACCTGGTCCACACAGTGAGTTTCAGACCAGCTGTGGGGGAAAAGTAAGAGAAGACCCTAGCTAAAAAAGGGTCCTCTGACCAGAGGCTATGTGACCGAAGACCACAGGCAGTTCCCACAAGAAAAGAGGCACCTGAGCCCTCTCCTGATGGAGTGAGGTCCCAGCTGGTTGGCTTAGAATAAAAAGCTTTTGTGCTTGCATTCGGGTGTCAGTGGCTCCTTGGAGTTTTGAGGTCCCCTGGTGGGCAGAACACAGCCAAGTCTACGCAGTGCCTCCTGTGCCTCCCTCCAAAAAAGTAATAAAAATTTCTTACATAGCAACTAAGAACAGTAATGTCCCTACAAAAACTATCAGAGAACAAAAAATCCAAGAAGAAGAAATACAAAGTGCTAATGGATATAGACAAATGTTCATTATATTTGAATATTGGGAAATTTCTAATTACCTAGGATTCTATCTTTCTGCTTATTAAACCTCCAAGTGTTGCTTAATTATTCAAATCAATACTAGAAAGCCAATTTACTGGCCTGATTGAAAACATAACTCTGTCCCTTTCTGAAGCCTCTCTGAAAAAATGAGAAGGATAGAAGCCTGTCAAGCTGTAGAAATGTGACAATAGGTAAAAGATGGCACAAAGTTCAGAAGTCTGAAAAGCAGTTAAATTCAATTAGAAAAAAAAAAAAAACTGCTATGAGTCTGAAGGAAAAGGATTGAACCTCGCCAGAGAATTCCTAAAAGCCTTAGTGCAGGCAGACACACTGAAAGTAAATTACAAACAAACACCCCCCCTCCTGCATCAGCTTGCTGGAAGTGGCCAGAGCCTTAAAAACACCAAGCTGCCCTTGTCTCTCTGTCTCCATCTAGTGGCGAAGACTGGCAGTTTACATCTAGAAAGGAGGAAAAAGTGACTGCTGGCTGGGGAGATAGATGGTCAGTGGGTAACCCTTGATCTTTAGCACCTACATAAAATGCAAGAGCATAAACAAACACACAAACAATAAACAGATGAAAGGCAATCCTCAGATAGGTGCCACATGCTTGGAATTCCAGCACTGGGGAAGTGGAGATGGGTGGGCTCACTGGCCAGCCTATTTGTCAAGTTCTAGATGCTATCTCAAAAATCAAGGGCAGTGGGAGCAGGATGTGGAAGGAGTTAGGGGAGAAACGGAGGTGGGCATGATTAAAATGCACTGCATGCCATTCTCAGAGTCAGGAACAGTGTTACACTAACAAGGCAGATGGTGTCCTCTGGCCTCTGCATGCACTAACAGGCATGCCCCCATGCACATGAATACACAAGAATGACTCTAGATGTGGGGTCTGAAAACAGCTGGGGTCAGAAAGGCGAACAGTTCAAAGGGGTATTAGGAGAAAGCACGTAGCAAGGGCCTCTTCACCCTTCCCAGAGCTCCTCACACTGTCAGCTGCTACAGTCTACATCTTAAATGTCAGAGGGTTACGTGGTGGCTGGTGGGAGCTTTAGGTGATCGTCCTACAGCACAACACTGGGGGTACACTCCTGAATGGGATACTGAAACACTGATCTAAACTCTCTCTCTGCTTCCTGGCTACCATGATGTGAACAACTTTGTTCTTCCAAGTGTTCTCTATCACGATATTCTACCTCAATGCAGACCCAGAAACAATAGGTCAACTTGCCACAGACTGAAATCTCTGAAATAAAAAATGGCCCTTTTACCCATTAGAGCTTTTATGCATTTTGTCATAGCAATGGAAATCTGACTAACAGCAGCCTAGCTCATAAAATGCTCCCATCCAATTTTCCCAGCAAGTCAAACAGTTTATCCTTAGGAGAACTGACTACCCAAGAGAAAAGGCCTAAGGGCAGAAACGGAGGAGTCCCCATGGCTTCTATCTAATCCATAGGGAACCCAGGGTTTGACAAACTTTGTTGACACAGATCAAAAGCTTTTAATAGCTGTTTACTGCTTTTGCTTAGAAATAATAGTGGTTTACTAGACATCTGTAGACAAGACAAACTTGAACTTGTTGAAAACAGAATAATGTATCAGGAACAGAAGCAGCTTCAAAACCCACTATAAATACCTTCAGAGTTATGAGAAATATGACACATATAAAACCGGAAAGGGTGAATATTTTTTAAAGGCACATTTGAAGAATAGTGGCTCTTTGACATTAAAAATTACAGCAAAAATAAAATACAACAGAAGCACTGATAGATAAAATTCAGAAAGTTTCTTAGGAACTAGAGAGAAAGATAAAGGTGAATCGTAAAAGGAGGAAGGGGGGAAAAGAGGCAATGGGAGGTGGTTCTAAGACACTCAGTGTCTGATTTATTCAACTCAAGTTCCAGGAGGAGACCACACGAACAGAATGACAGACACACTCAAGGAGTACACTGTTTACTCAGTACAAAATAGATGTGTCAAAGGCTAACTAATGTACACTACCACTAATGTTTAGGGTAATTCACAGAAATACAAGGTCCAAATAGTTTTCACAGAAAATGAATCACAAAAAATTCAGTAATCAATTTTAAAATGGCAGTAAATATATGGTAAATAAGACATATCGGGCATACAGTAGCCACACAATAAATACCTGCTGACTAAACTAACACAGTTTTACAAAGTATTAAATGATATCAGAAAAGAATGTGTATATAATCCTTATTACTTAATACAGAACACAACAATTATGAATTAAAAGTAAAAAGTGGCTTAAAGATTGTTTCTGAAGGTAGGATTGTGAATGATTTTTATTTTTGTCAATTTTTTCAAAATTGTATAATGAAAATATATTTATGTAGTTTTAAGTGATCCAAAATAGTAATAAGAACCAGGCATGTAGCTCATACACATGACCTGTGTGTCTTGGTGGAAGAGTAGGAAGACCATAAGTTTAAGGATGATCTTGGTCATATAATGAGTTCAAGGGCAGGCTGAGCGAGTTGAGACCTTGCCTCAAAAATACTACCATTATTAATGGAAAAAAAAGGAAAGAAAAAGAAAAAAAGCTAATGATGAACACAAAGCTATAAACAATTATCAAACACATTCTAAGCATGCATATCCTTAGTATTTTACCTTCCCCCACCTTCAGGTTTACCTTGGTCCAGAGTCACTACCATTCACATCAAGATCGAGTTCTTGGGGTTTACTAAATTCTTTATCTGCTACCAGTTCTCGAGACTTAAATATAGCTTGAGTCCTTAACCTGTAAAAATAAATTTAAGAATTTTTAATCCCAAAGCACCAATAGGCTACACACACACACACACACACACACACACACACACACACACAGAGTCTCACACAGTCTCTCGTCTCTCTTTCTCTTCTCTTCTCCCCCTCCCCACACTTCCTAAAGACAAATTAAGTAAGCCCATCATTTTATAGGACTTTAGATTTTCTTTAGAGAAGCATGTGGGAAAATTGAGATGGTTAGAACGTAATTTAAAAACTCAGAACTGTAAATGTTTTCGAAGCACTTTATGTCTCAATTCTAAAATGTGAAAAAGCTTCCATCTATTCATTGCTGAGGGTTTTGCTCATTGTGTTAGTTTCTGTTGCAGTTGCAGTGATAAAACATTAGACAAAAAAAATCCCGAGGGAGATGAGGTTTGTTCTGGCTCCCAGTTTGGTGGTGTAGTCCATTACAATGAGAAGGACCTGGAAGCAGCAGCTTGAGGCAGCTGGTCACATTGCACTTCTCCTCAGGAAGCAGAAGGGATGATGCGAGACTTCAGCTAGTCTTCCCCTTCTTATGCAATCTAGGACCTGAGCTCAGACAATCAATACCTACATGTAGAGTTAGGTCTTCTTACCTCAATCCTTCACAGCCATGCCTGGAGGCTTGTTTTATGTGATTCTAGATCTGGCCAACTCAACAAACAGTAGCCATCACAATTTTCACTGCTGTTACAGCATGCTTAAGTAAACTAAGGATTTATTGGACTCATGGTTTCTGAGGTTTTAGCTTACGGTAGGTTGGCTCTGTTGTTGTGGGCCTGAGGTGAGGGAGAAGAGCACAGCAGAGGAAAGCTGCTCACCTCATGCCAGCCCAGAAGCAGAGCAAGACAGGAAACGCCCATCAAAGGCACACGCTGGTGAGCTATCCCTCCAAGCAGGCCTGCCTTGTAGATTTTACCAAGTCACAACAATGCCACAAATTATGAATTATCAATAGCTTTAATGCAAAAGATCAACTCATTGATGGGTTAGTAGGTTATTTCATTGGCTCAATAACTTGATTAGACCAGTGCCTTTATGAGCCAATCATTTCCCTTAAGTTCCATCTCTGAACATTGCACTGTGACCCAGCCTCCAACATACAAGCCTTTTGAGGAAACACTTTAAATAGAAGCCATCTAAGTTAGCCAGGTCTAAATATAATCTCTTGTAATTCTCAAGTATTATTGACTCTATAAAACAAATTTAGGAGGCATTCAACTTCTCATGTTGACACTTCAAAAGGCTGGGAGAACAGTGATAACATATTTTCTTTAGGCCACAGACAAAAATAGAATGAGGTGTCCTGGTTAATTTCTTTTGTCATCCATTTGGGAAAAGGGAACCTCCTTGAGAATGCCCCCAACCAGATTGGCCTGTGGGCACTTTCTTGACTAATGACTGACATGAACGGGTTCAGCTTACTATGGCCACTTCCCCTCAGCCTGGTGGTCCTTGGTGCTGTAAGAAGGCTGAGCAAACCAAGGGAGAAAGTGAGCCCACAGAGTTCCTCCATGGCTTCTGCTGTGGCTCCTGCCTGGCTTAATTCTTGCCCTGACTTCCCTCAGTGATGGACAATTACCTGGAAATGTAACATGAACTAAACCCTTTCCTCCCAACTTGCTTTTGTTCATGGTATTTTATCACAACAACAGGAAACCTAAGACAGAAGGCAAGGTATCTACTGGGATGAAGACCACACTCACATGTACTGAGAAGGGAAGGCCGTTCTTTCAGTTTTCAGAAAATGTTTTCTGGTAATATGTACAAATATATTCTTTAACTACGAAATACATTCTGGGAGGTGGTGACGCCCACCTTTAATACCAGCATGTGGGAGGCAGAAGCAGGCAGATCTCTGAAATTTTGAGGCCAGCCTGGTCTACAAAACGAGTTCCAGGAAGAGTCAGAGAGACCCTGTGTCAAAAAACCAAATCAACCAACTAAACAAGAAAACAAAGAAAAACTATTAACTAAAAACCATGAAGTGTTTTGTACAAGAACCATGAGCATAGTATTCATCACCATCAAAAGACAAGTTTTAGTTGTAACTACACATGGTGATATACAAAGAGATGGAATTTACAGTATTATTAATTTGTAGTGACATGCAAGGCATTAGTAAATGCAGGGGTAAAAATGTTAAAATCAGGCAATTATGAGAAAAGAGTAAGAAGAATAGTAATAACAGCAGTCATAATAGCTTCTGCAGCAAGAGATGTTGATGGCAATAGTAGCAACCACTTATGGAATGTTTCTTATGTTACTGTACTGATCCACACAGATGACCTGGAAGTAATTACTTTATTATGTATTTACAGAGGAAAGTGGGGCAGGCCTAGGCATAAAATTTACCCAAGGTGATATGATATGTTTTTTGTTTGTTGGTTGTTTTATTTTTTTGGATTTCCGAGTCAGGGTTTCTCTGTGTAGCTTTGTAGACCAGGCTGGCCTTGAACTCATAGAGATCCACCTGCCTCCGCCTCCTGAGTGCTGGGATTAAAGGCGTGCACCACCAACACCTGGCCAAGGTAATATGTTTTTAAGTGGTGAAGGTGGTACATTTTTCATAGCTAGGTATACAGTATATATGTTATAGATGTCAGAGACAAAGACAAATATTATAAATAGCTTGATTCTACTCATTTACTCCCAAAGGAATTCACGATGGTTCTTGGCACCAAATCAACTGTATTCTCGATAAATCTTCTTTGAGCAAGACTTTCTGAAAGCACTGACTATGTAATCTCAAGGTGTCATAATTAATAACAAATCAGAATTTAGGTAAGTGTCAATATCTTTGCAAATTCATTTCAATGAGAAAGTCTCATCCCCAAACTCTGAACAACTTTAATTCTATGCTACTCATTTGATATTCAACTATAAATTGTCTTTCCAATACATTTCTTGGATATCCTACATATCATAAATAATGGCATAGGCATAGCCAGAATTAATTTGTTATTGTAACTGAAGTGAGTTACCTGTCCACTTAAACTACAAATTCAGTAAAGATTTACAATAGTTCATATTATGTATAAATTAGTGTATGAAACTGTACAACACTCAAAGAGATCAGGTTTTATTCATCTAGGCATTCCTCCCACGTAGTTTTGGGCAGAAATAATCCTTTTCTAAAACAGTGAAAATTGAACTGAATTGTAGACTATACTATACAAAATACACTATGGTGCTCTTTTGTACATATCCCCCAACTTAAAGTGCTAGCGAGAAAGAACCCAAACCTAAAATCAACAAAGGTGTAGATAATTTTAAAAGAAAAGCAAACATTTAAACCAGAGGAGAAGGTATGGCTTGAGAAAGAACCATGAATAGTATATGAAAAGAGTTGCAACAAGACAAATTTTCAGAAAAAAAAACATTTCTTAGGAAAAATGGGGCAAATGGGTACAGAGATGACTACAAATTATAGAAAGCTTTGCAAACTAGGATGATAGGTGCTATTCTAATCTAGAAATTTTCTTACCAGTTTTTAAAATTCAGAAGTGGTAAAATAAAGGCACTGCATTAGGAGGGTTCATTCATCACAGATATTTTTGGTTCATGACACTATTGGGCACACTTTCAGATATCTCTTAAGAGATAAAATTGCATGAATCTAAACAGTAGGCCAGAGAGTAGGCTGACTACTATGATACTGATTAAACAGATAAATCAAGATCTTAACTTCTGATCTGCCACAGCTACTCATGGGTGATCAGATGATTTCCATGGTAGAAAAGCAAGAAACGAGAACCTCCTCTAGTAAAATTGTCTCCAGCCAGGTGTGGTGAAAACTGTAACCTCAGCACTTGGGAGCAGGCAGGAGAAAACAGCTAGCTTGGACCACAGAGGCAGAATTTGTCTCAAAAGCCTCCATCCCGTTATCTTAATTGACTCTTTATGTGGGCACCTCACTTGAAGCTTCCAATGTCTTGACCGAGAAGAATTTTATTTTATAGTCAGAGCTACAAACAACAAATGAAATGGCAGAATTGTGATGGCCAAAACTCATGGAACCCAAAGACCTTTAATGGATGTCTAAAGTACCAGAAGCCAGCAAGAGCAAGTCTGAAGATGGACAGTACTGTGAATGTGTATGTTTACTTTACAAGTCCTGACCAATAAGTTTGAAAATACCCTAGTATAAAACACTAAGGATTTTCTAAGACTTCAGATAGCAACTACCTAGGGTAATACTCATCCCTGAAAGAGAATTGATTAAATCACTTGATAATTTGAGGACAGTAATTCTGAATGCAGGAAATAATTGTAGTCAGTTTAAAAAGAAAATTAGGATAGAGAGAATGAATCCATGAGGGAGACAAACAATTTCTGTAGAGTTTTCCAGAAGACATAAATTTTTAGAGTTTAAGAAAAGGAAGGTTGAGTTGTTAGTCAGGACTGTCTAAAAGATTCGAGAAGTATACAGCCCATTGCAGTTTCCCTTGAGTGGCCCCCAGAGGTAAGTTCCTATTGCTCAAAACACCAAGCATATCAGATATAGGGTCTAGAGGCTCTTTAGCTGGAGTTGACATGAATGCCCCTTTCCTGATGGCACCTATGGTACCAGAAAGTGCCAGCAAGTTTTCAAAGGAGGGAGGCAACCAACAAGCCTACCCAGCTATGATACCTATGAGCCTCCTTGCTGACCTCAAAGCAAACAAAGACAGAAAGGTGGGCCATTGGTGGACCGGGTGCAGAGGAAGGATGTGTGTTTCAAGGACTCTGTTTTTGTCTGCACACTTAAAATACTGGAATACTGCTGACCTAGAAACCCCAAAAGCATGGAGGAAAAAAGCCTCCCCCATTTTGTCAAAGAAGTAGAAAGCCTTTAAACAGCAAAACCACTTGCATTGCTCTATTCTAGCCAACCGCAGAGGCACATGGTGGCCTCACTTGCCCTGTCCCTATCAGCAAAGACTGAGTGGAAGCCAGGCTTATTTTCTATGTGCTCTCATGAGGAGGCCAAGCCTTCTGCCATAGCAGTGTTAGAGAAGGTATCCTACAGAGGAAGATTTAACCACCACCCAGTGACTTAAGCTACAAACTAAAATCTGAAAACCTCCATCATATCAAGAATAAAAAGATGGCAAAAATATCTAATGAGAATGAATATTAGAGCATGCATTACAAAAATCCCTCAAAGAACAAGTCTGAGTATCCTTGAAAGAAAAAGACAGAAAATCTTTAAAAATAACAAGAAGAAAAATAAAAACCAGGCAGAAACTGTACTTTGGAAACATGCTCAGCTGGGATAAGTAAAAAAAAAATCAGCAAAAATTGAAAGAAAACAAACCTAACTAGATTATTGTTAATGATAGACTAAGAGACTAAAAAGGAGAGACAGACACTTGACTAGAGCACAAGAGAAACAAACACAGAGCAAATAAAAGCAGTGGTAGCTCCCAGCATCAGATCTCGGGACCATAACAAAAACCTTGTATTTTTGTCCATGATATTTAAGAGAAGAACACAGGTGGGGCTCAAAAAGTGACACCCCCAAAAGTTCAAGAGCCCCTAAATACTGTAATCTTTGTAGTGACTAAACAGCTTTGTGTTTTTATTGTGGTGGTGATGTCAGCAAACTAGACACTAAATAAAACGGCAGCAGAGAATCACACACACTGTCCTGATGCTAATTCCCCATTCACCAGATTACTTGTGTACATGTAGCCACTGGTGAAGGTCATATGGAACGTCTCTGTAGTATTTTTAAAACTACGCAGGAACTATAATTATTTCAAAATAAAGTTTAAAAGTAAATATGAATATGTATAATTAAAAATGTATGCACATACAAGATTTTTCTGAAAAGTCTCATTTCTTAGGTCTTTTTTCTAAGCTAGAATTATCAGTGTACCTAATAAGTGTCTACAGAGGGGAATGGTGAACAAGAAGGCAACAAGCAAGGAGACAGAAGCGTTTCCCTTGGAAAATCTTCAATTCATTGATTTTGTTTGTTTGTCTGTTTTTGTTTTTTTAAAGAATGTAAGTGCCAATATCTGATTTACCACGTCTTTTCTTAAACAGTAAACTTTATGCATCTGAATGTAAAACCATACTAAATAGTACATAACATCAAAAGAACAATCCCACTTTTGAAACCCTGTTCTAAGGAGGCAATATTAAGGGAAGAAAATGAGGGTGAGGCTATATCTCAGTGGCAGAACACTAGCCTAACATGCACACGGCCCCAGAAACAATAAAAATAAAAATAAAAAGGAAGGTACAGAGCAAGTATGATCAACACACACATGTACTTGGTAAAAATGTCCTTATTCAAAAAACTACCATATGCTATGAAATATACACAATGAAAAACTTAAAAAGATTACTTGGGAAAAATAATTTTTAATAGAAAAAGAAGAAAGTGTACATGTGAGTATGTTCATTTGAACTAGTTATAAGGCTATGTTCAGGATCAGTAAGGATTAAATTTAAATGGGTCTCATGATTTATTTTCTATGATGGCAGAAAGACATGAATGTAGGATGATGACAACTAATCACACTTCTTTATAATCTGATTTTATACTTTTAAATAAAAGGATTTAACTTGATCTCTAACTCTCCAGAGTGACATCAAATAGCAAAGCATACGGCGTTTGAAGTCTGATGAAAGTTACCAACGGAACTTGGGAGATCGTTCTGTGGGCATGGCTATATATGCTTGTAACCCTAGCCTTAGGTTTAGACAGGTGGATCCCAGAAGCTCAGTGGACTTCCAGCTTAGTTGAAACTGAACTTCTGACTTAGTAGAGACTCTGTCTTAAAGAAGTAAGGTAGAGAATGACAGATGAAGACACTTAGGTCCTCGTCTGGCCTCCACATGTGCGTTTATAGGCACAAGCACCTATGTACATACTTGCATGAATATTTTCCATAGAAGACAAGAGTTTACTTGTTGTCATAGTTGGTATGTACTCCAATAAGCCAAGATGCTGAAGAATCTCTGTGAACTGAGGTTTATGAAAAGCAGTGTTTGAAACTCGATTCTCCAACCTACAGACAGTGCTGAAAGAAGAGGTAGGACTCACCAGTTGTAATCCAGCCGGGACTGGTGCAGCTGCTGCTGTTTGAGGAGAAGCTTTGTCTCTTGCTGGGCCAAAAGATGCTGGAGGCGCTCCTTTTCGATTTCTAGCTCCATTTTCTGAAGCATCAGTTGTTGCCTTCGATCTTCCGAGAGTTGCTTTCTGACATCAGTGTCACTGGGTTGCAGTGTCACTCTATGAATGAGAGACGCCCAAGCAAGCCCACAATGACTGCATGATCCCGGATGAGTCTTACAACACTGAGGAGCCATGGTCACAGGCTGGTAGTTCTCAGGAACACAATCTTCACTTTCAGAGCATTTGTGACTACAGTACTGACTTGATGGAGTGCGAGGAGGGTGTGGACATTCCTTTACCTTCAACTCTTCTGAAGGAAGGACTTTCTCTATTGGGGCCGCATCTGTTGGTTTCCTCCCTGGAGATTCAGAATCACCTGTTCTGGTTTCTGATGACACCCTCTCTAAACTCTCTTTGTGATGATGAAGTATTACTGGTTTCAAGGAATTATTCCTCATTGCCGTTAGGGACTCTGAAGCTGAGATCTGGGTTGCTGACTTAGGCCTTGCCTTGGTCTGACAGGAGGTTTGTGGTTTGGCTACACTCAAGTAGGAACCATCCAGGTCCATCAACGAAGACTGGTGAGTGATTTTCCTGTTGGTTATCTAAGAAGAAACACAGAAAAACAACTGGTTTTTCTTTTTCAGAAATCAATGATATATGTTCACTAAAACAAAACTATTTCCTTTTCTTAAATATTACAGTATCCACATTGCTAATGTTCCGCAAAGCCACATCCATTTCAAACAACCTTTATTTCAGCAAATCTATAGGAGATTAAGAAAGATCCAATATTACTACATGCTGTTTTTGAAAATCTTTGGTGATTTTAGGAGTTGCAAGTACTTAAGGTTACATAAAATCAACTTTAAGATGCAAACTCATTAAATATTAATATCTAAAAAGGTCTATCTTTGAATATTGAGTCAAGAAATCCATGCAGTCACCTTAAATATTCTTTGGTTGGCTATTACACAGAACAAAATGATGTAGAACATTTCACATTATTCTGAATAGCTACTGCTAGATGAGTTTTTATAAGTATCTTTAGAGAACACTGATAAAACCAACTACTTTCAACATACATAATTCTAATAAAAAGAAATTATTTAAATATAAAATATTTAATTTCAGCTACAAACATAAGTGATTTTTCACTTAAGCCATTCAAGTGGTTGCAGTCTAACAGAACTCAGGCAGAAAGGAAGCAGTTGTAAATTTGAACTTCCAGGTGAAGAGTAAATTCTCCCACATTTTGGTTGTAAGCCTGTTCTACTGGGAGAGTGAAACTTCATCTCTATCAATCATTCTCAAACTTGAGCAGGTATGAGAATTACCTGATGGACTTATTAGGCATCAAAGGCTAGTTTCAGCTACAGAGCTTCCCACTCTGCTTGGAATGGTCAGCTCATCTGCATCTCTAAGAGGGTTTCAGGTGATGCTGATGTTGATCTGGGATCAGGCTTTGAAAATTCCTGGTCTAGATTGTGGAGTCTGTCTACCTTGGTCTTAGAAAAACTGAATGGGCTCTAGTTGAGCTCTGAGCATCTTTGATTTACTATAAGCAAGCAGATTTTCCTCTCAGTGACTTTCAGAAACATGGTGTATCTACAATAGCTTTCCAAGGTGAAATATTTTAGTTTCATGCAAATGCTAAGTACAGTACAGAGAAGCAGCTTGTTCATGAAGTTGGATACTTAGGATTTAACAAAACATGAATAAAGTTAATGCAGAAGAGTCTTAATCAAATGAAACTGATAGGGAAGAGTACAATACTGAAAATGGGTCCAACGGGGTTTAGATTCTTCCAAGGACACAATCTTCTATAGCCAAAACATTCCCATCAACTTAGACATTAGGCATAACAGAAGAGAGTCACCAAGTCCCAATTACATAACTACAAAGATGGGCTCTTCAAAGCAGTGACATTCCTAGAGGTGTAGATTTCTTTGGGAAGTCAGAGTGTAACCTTTGCACAAAGGCTGAAAGGCAAAAATCATATATACCTCTGGAGGAACCACAGTCCCCAACACAGACTTCACTCAAAGAGAAGCCAAGAGAACACTAAGCAGATGTAAATGAGAAAGATGTTTGAAATATTCTTTATAGCTTCCACTCACATCTTCCTCTTCCCTCTGGCTTTTACTTAAAGCCCATTTACATACACTCTTTTACTTTGCTGACATTTCCAATCTGTATTCAAGAAAGTCCAGAAAGTCTTTAGTAGCACTAAACAGTACTATTAACCAAACAAATAAAAAAATCTTAAATCATGTTGTCTAGATCAGCAGCTTTTTGGCCATTCCTTGTCCTGAGTTATTCAATTCTGTCTAGAACAGCTGCTTTGTCCCCAGTTACTCAATGCTGGATACAAATACTGAGACAGAATGACTTGGCATCTTGTTCATAAATAATCACCATCTGTCTAGCATCATAAAGCATACTGATGAGGGACTTAATCATTCTTATTAAAAAATTACCACCTTTAAGCTTACTGAACACACAAAACCAATGAATGAAACAGCTACAAATCTGAACATAGGAGAAAGACCTCAGCCCGAACCATGACACATCAACTTTGCATTATCATGGGCCACTCCTTAGGAGATTGTCAGTTGCACATTTCCAACTGTGCCTTGACTTGGCTTAGTCTGATGCTGACTGTCACTAGCATCATCAACTTCAAAGTTGTCCAGTTCTCTCAACCAAGTAGTTTTGAGATCTGTTCTCAACCCAGGATCTGCCCATCTGAAATGGCTCTCTGACTGGTAGCACCACAGCATCTACTACCTGTTAGTTCCTATACATTCATCTCTAGCTTTCTGTCACTTACATGTAATTGACTGAAGTGTGATGTATCATTAAGTGCCAGATACTATCAGAATGGAATGGAATATTTCCACGGTTAGGACTCCAAAGGAAAGTATAAGTAGTTGGTGAAAGTGAATCTATTAACACTCAATAAATTCTGACGCCATAGAAGGGCAAAAGAGTGTTCAAATATGTTAATGACATAGCTTGCTAATAACACACCCACTGAAGTAATTTTTCACTTTTCATGGGCAATTATTTGCACACTGAGATAAGCTTATTTGCTAAAGGTTGTTGAGAGAAATACCCTTTCACAGTAAACTAATAAATTACAATTTCTACGTTCATTTCCTGTGGCCACTATAGTGAGTTACTACGAAATCTGCAGTATATGATAATACAAATGTCTTCTCTGAACATTGTGGAGGTCAGAAATTAGAAATCTATTTCACTGGGCTCAAATCCAGATTTTACAGGGCTTATTCTTTTCAGAATCTACTTGCATTTTTTTTAAGTTTCTAGTGACCATATAAGTTCCTTGGTTTGTGCTCTCTCCTTCTCCTCCATCTTCAAAGAGCGTCACTCCTGCTTCTATAACATTTGTGCTTACACATACTACATTCTCAATAAGCATGTTCTCAATAATATGCATCATATTGTTGGAAAAATTCAAACTGAGTTATGGGCTAGTAATGAAAGAAAATTAGAATCTTAGAACTTGATGGGAAAAGCTGAAGAATCACAAAGCCAGTCTGAGAGAGAGAGAAAGAGAGAGAGAGACAGACAGACAGAGACAGAGAGAGAGGAGAGAGATCTAAGATTAAGTTAATGTGTCACCAGGAGAAAGAGAGAAATAAATAGAAATCAAACTTCCTAAAAAGTTCTAAATATAAAATTCAGCTGCTTTATTACTGGAGTTAAAGATATCTAACGCTTTGGAACCCATGCAAATAACAATAGACCTGAATGAAACAGATGTGTTTTTCTTTTTAGAGTTGCTCCATGCCCTTACATGTGGCATTAACAAACACAAATTCACTTAATGAAGGCTTAAAATAGCAAAAACTTCTGAATTGTTTCTGTGGCAAATCTGTATGTAAAACCCTGCATTGCACTTTTATTTAGTGCCTGTAGGGACACGCACAAGCACAGCTATCATAATGCTCACATAGAGGCCAGAGGACAACTTGTGGGAGTTGGTTCTTTCCTTCAACCACCCAGGTCCTGAGGACCAAACCAAGGTTGTCAGGCTTGGTAGCCAGCACCTTTACCCCATGGACCATCTCTCTAGCCTGCATATGGGTTTAAGAGGAAACTTTCAGATAAGTAACACAAACATAGAAAATATTTTTAAAAGAGGCAATTTTCTTTTAAAAATGCACGGTTTAGGGGTATGGCTTAATGAGATTGCACACTTGTTAACATGGATGTAACATCTCCCTGGTCAAGTTACAGAACACCTGTATCACTCAGAGGTTCCCTTGTATGCTTTCTGATTAACACCACTGCTCAATGCTAATCAGTTATATTGTTATTGATTCACACTACAGTAAATCAACATTGTTTTTTTTAATCACTACATAGTTTGTTTTATGACAATGGGGGGAACTCATTTAGAGCTCTTAAAAGCTACTGGAGTTCTTATATAAATGTTTTAAAATATTTTTAGTTTTTGAAATTTGTTTTTATGTATTCAATGCATGACTTCATTTTTATTGTTTTCTATCTTTTAATATTTTTATTTAAATGAAAAACAATCTTATTTTACATACTAATTCCTATTCCCTTGCCTTCCCGTCCTCCCATGTCTCCCACTAGCCCCCCATTCCACCTCTCATGTACTTCCCAGGGAGGATGAGGCCTCCTATAGGGGATCACAAAGTCTGTCACGTCACTCGGGGCAAGGCCTAGGCCCTCCTCCATGTATCTAGGCTGAGAGACTATTCCTCCATAGGGAATGGGCTCCCAAAGTCCATGCACTAGGGATAAATACTGGTTCCACTGCCAGAGGCCCCATAGACTGCCCAGGCATCTCCTGAGCAAATTGGGAGCATGGGGAGAGGGGAAACGGAGTTAGGAGAAAGAGAAGAGGAGAAGAGGAGGGGAGAGGAGGGCAGGAGGTAGCAGGAAGATTGAGTCAGGGGAAGAATAGAGGAGAACAAGAAATAATAGAGGGAGCCATTATAGGTTTAAAGAGAAATCTGGCACTAGGGAAATGTTCAGAGGTCTACAAGGATGACACCAACTAACAATCCAAGTAATAGTAGAGAGCTTAAATACCCTTCCCCAATAATGAGACTGATGACTACCTTATATGCAATACTAGAGCCTTCATGTAGTAGCTGATGGAAGCAGGAGCAGACAGCCACAGCTAAACACTGAGCTGCACTCCTGGAATTCACTTGCAGAGAGGGAGGAGTGATGAGCAAAGGGGTCAAGACCAGGCTGGAAAAACCCCCAGAAACAGCTGACCTGAATAAGGGGGAGCTCATGGACTGCAGATTGATAGCTGGGAAACCAGCATAGGACCAACCTAGACCCCCTGTTAGTAAGGAGGTCTGGGAAATCTATGGGGCCTCTAGTAATGAATCAGTATTTATCCCTAGTATAAGAATGAACTTTGGGAGCCCATTCCACATAGAGGGATACTCTCTCAGCCTAGACACAAGGTGTGTGTGTGGGGGGGGGGGACCTAAGTTTTATGCTTGCAGCCCTTTAACTTCCTCTGCTTGCCTATTGCTCTGGTTACCTGGGACAGCCCTGTCTTACTCCTGACTTCAATGGGATTGCTTCA